ATTTGTCTATTAATAACTGAAATATCGCGCTCGCTGCGTCGCCTGCCGCCTCAAGTCCCGTTACAATAATTTTCTTTTACCATGTTCTGCTCTCGCCTGGCGGCCGGGTTCGCCAACCTCCGATGGGAAAATTTACACCGAGGACTTACGACCTTGGCCTAGTGTGGCCGCACCGTCGCCTCGCTCCCCTGCAAACCAGCTGTCTGCGACGTCGTTCGAAGCGGCGCCTTCTCTCGCCCTCCACCAGATCCTCGCCAAATCTTCTCCCGTATTGATCCTTGAAACGCCCGGCACCAGAACAGGATAATCGCCTCTCCTTCTTTCTTCACCGCTTTTCTCGTACGGCACGCCGACGCGTATTGCAAAGTTCTCACGCGTGTTTGATTACGGTATATTTGTTCTTGGCGTTCCATACGATGCACTCTCTATCGGGCAGCTAATTTTCAGTTCTGACGACTCGCAGCGTTCAAGTGTTTACTTTCGCATCCACTATTCCACGTACTTGTACTTTCATACTTGCTACTTGACGAATCTCCCCAGTATATAATTCGCCCAATTAAATCACTGTTCTAATGTCAACATTCTGCGCTCTTCTAACTGCTTTCTCGTACGAACAATTACTTCCCTACGTACTCTCGCCAAGACGGCGTCCATCACTCCTCACTCAGCTAACTGGGGACGCCCGACGCCTCTCTCAAGAAGCGCGGAGCCGTGAGGTGTTCGGACGTACTTTCCTGTAACACCGCGCCGCAACCCCTTACCAGCTGACCCCTCACGCTCGCCATAAACTGCAAGTCCGGCGGCGGAGCTTGGTTGCTAAAATGGCGCCTATTATGTTGAATGATGCTATGAAAATGACCTACAAAAACTAAATCAAGTTGAAAAAAAATTAATAATGGACCAACATCTCTAAGTTCGTGTGCTAAACCCACTCATTAAACCCTGTTTAATACACACCCATTTAATGCCCCAACTTTGCAATTATTGCACTTCGACTCTTTAGCATATTCAGTCATGCATAACCTGCTACAATCGGCATATGGGCTATTCTAGCCCCCAGAATTCACTCCACCTTCGGCGTATGAAACTATTTTTATAATGTAAATATGCATATAAAGTTATGAAACACCAATTTTTCATGTAAATGGTTTTGGTGTTTTTTTGTATTTTTATGTTTTTATTATAATGAACTTGAATTGTTTAATGACGTTTTTAACCGTTTATTATATAACTGTAGTGTTCTTGAAGAGCTACATGCTTAACGTTGAGAAGTAAAAAAATAAATACAAATTCACATTTCCTGATATTTAGTTGTAGATTCATTGTGTATGTTTCAGATCTGCTTCAAACACGTCCCTTCATTAAAGTAGGATCAACAGTAAAATACAACAAGAAATTGGAAATAATAATAATAATAATAATAATAATAATAATAATAATCTTAATTTTATGCAAATATTCATATGTTTCGGGTCTTGTCACAGTTTTTCTATTTTTATGTACCTTTATTTTATAGTACGTTCTTGCTCTCACATCATTTAGTATCATATGTGTTCAGGTGATTGGTATTCATTAAAGAGTATTTGAATAAGGATTTTACATGACATATTGACCTCGCTGCAGTTCGGCGGTGCGGAGGTCGCTTTGCGTTGCTCTTGCTTCACGAGAAGGGAACTCAACACTACACTGCGACTATTCAACTCCGAAACAAGTCTCGGGATTCGTTTGAGCGTGCTAAATGAGCCCGACAGATCCGCATTAAAATTATTCCCAGCAACTGCGGTTCACCCGGATGCTGCAAATCTTTCCTCGAACATTTTGTAAGTTTGCAGATTTTCAACTGGTTAATACATTCGAAATAGAGAAATAGGCTGGATTGTTAATGGTAGATTGGATGACACTCTGTCTCCGAACACTTCGATGAAAGCATAATTGTAATAATGAAGATACAAATATCAACAGCTGGTTAGTAGTGAAAAATAATCAGTTTCGCAGATATCGGTATAATGAAGTTTCAGCATCAGCAAATGTTCGTTGAATTATGACTTACAAGCCATACATAATTCCAAACAAACCTTATGGCCTTCAATATAACACAAAGCACAAACACTTTCAAGAAAGATACTGAGAAAGACGCAATGGACACCTCTCTCGAGAATTATGCACTTCTCCCCATCACATCGCATTCAATTTCCGTTATGTCGAATTAGGGTTACTACATTTCCATTACGAGAAAATACATTTTTTACAAAAAAAAAGACTTCATACAAAATGTTCAAATACAATAATATACTTCCTCGAAGACAAAATAGTACTGACAAAAGGGATTGCAAAATAAAATTCGCCAATATTTAGGAGTTCAAAATAGCATACAAGGCATGAAGACATAAATATTGATGATATTAACTGACACAGAATCTATAACCAGTATCAGCATACAATAAATTGTATTACACGCGCACGTTTTCTTATGCTCCGGAACACCTACCACCCCCTCCATTGCCAACACTAGTTAAATTAAGAATAGAAGATGGACAAAATCCGATAACTAGAAATGTTTGTTCCAGTGTATTATAAACTATTTTACATCAAAAAACCAAGTAAAAATTTGATATAAAATTACTTTTTGTGAAAATAACCAAACTCCCCACTCTTCTCGAAAATAGTGAAGCGAGGGCTCAAGAAAACGTGCGCGGATAATACAATATGTTGTACCAGCTGATGACAGTACCGTCGTATTTCAGAAAGTGAAGAACGGAAATGTAATATAGTTTTCTATACACTTTGGCTGTTGTTAGGCGAGACGAAGTTTAAAGTCATTTAAATATCACACAACCACGAAATGTTATGATGTCAGGAAATCCAGAAAGTTGAAGAAAGCGAAGTATGCAAGTATTACACATCTGGGTGCCTTTAAAAGTAGTTTCCCCTTTGCAATAAAAAGGCGAGGCATTTCGTCCTTTCTTGTAAAATCACCTGAACAAATTTTCTTGCTTCAAAAAGAGCACGGGTGTGGGAAAAGAAGACGTATGATAACCCCCGTTACTTTTTACACATCATTTATACGACTTAGCTTTCATTTAATTGTAAACGGTCAACTATTCTAACAGCAAATTTTTACACTTGTAAATAAGGCTTATGGAAATTTGAGGACGTAATGATAAAATTATATGATAAAACATGATAATGTATTATTTTGTACGTACCTCCCACGCAATACGTTTTTACGTAAGAAAGTGAAGAAGTATCACACTTCTAAGTTAGACTCACGAAACTTTGAGGAAGTATATAGCTTTAATAACAACACTTGATTATGTGTGTTTCAGTCGAAGAGAAAAGCTTCATACATTGTTCTGATTTCATTTTCCTTCACGACACGTGTGATCAGAAACATGCAGAACGTCGAATTCCGTGCAAAAATAAATTGACTATTTGATATCCTGTGCGATTTAATTACACAGACTCAAGTTTTTTTGATTGAAAAATAATCCCTTGTAATTATTAGAATGGTTGTTCTTCCCCTTTTATCGATTTTATATATTCAATCTTACAGTTGAGTGCCTGATCGTTCCAAGTTGACTTCGACCATGAAGATATTTTCATCATAGATATATTTCCCTTACCACATGTAATGTTGGCACAGGTGTACTGGTACATATTTAACACAATATGCGATTTACCCGTACGCCCACATCAGGAAGAACAAGTGGTGCTCATCAACGAAGGGGATTTAGGTAAGGTTTGGAGAAATGGAAAACGATAATTCATTAATGTCATCAATGTGAATTTGAAGGCGTCACGTTAAGGAAAAATCAAATGAGAAACAACAAGAACAAGGAATGTGAAAAAAAAAATGGAAAACTACTGTCACATCGGAAAACATATTTACAAAAAAGAACTACAAAAGTTCAATTGCTTCATTTTCAAACAGTACAGTTTGAATTACAAGCATATTATTATACAAATTTCTCACAAATGTCAGAAAACGAGTGAATTATCTTTTCGTTGAATATTTAGCGACAGGGAAGGAATGTCTTATAGACTGGACACGACTGGGAACATATTAAATATATAATAGAATACATTTTTATATGTTGTGAGATGTGATGTCCATTTCAGTCGCTGCAGTTTCAAAGCGAAAAAAATCTGTCTTGCAGATTAGATTGAATGGCCCACTTCACGCATAACGGTCTCTTGATACACTTCCAAACAAGTATAGTATATGAAGTACTTTCTACGGCAGACGACAGAAATTCATAACATGTTGCTGTATCTTAGGAACTTGAGACACACCCAGGTTACTCATTCAGTTTCTCCAGAAACGCAGAGGCTCGTGAACAGAGGTCTGCGCGCTCTGGCAACTCTAGATCAGGCTATATTTTTATAATTTTAAGTTAATGCCACTCATTAGGGGCACACGATGGTGGAATTTCAAGAGCACGCAGTTCTTACACCGCTGACACACGCACAGTCGCCGATTACTACGCGTTACCGCCATCTCCAGTAGCCGACAAACGCGCACCGACAAGAAGAGATAGGTAATTACTTTCCTGAAAGGGACAATTACTTCGCGCAGATAATCAGCTGTTTGTTATTATAACAGCCGCAAGGCGCAGGTTCTGCTTCCAACGACTTCCGAAGGAATGCTCCTGCGCTCTACCGGCTCTTTTTCTTACTAGAAACGTGAAGGCCGGCGCTGGCAGTGAACGTCGCGCTATCCGCCGGAGAAACCACAAACCAATTGAACTCAGAGCAAATCTTCAAATTATTATTATTACTTTTTTTATCTGTACAGATCAGTTGGCAAAGTCACAGGCAAATGACAAAACGAAGCAGAATAATATAGCATCATCGTCACTCCATAAAAAGAACAGTTCTTAATTAAGTGGACGCTTTTGGGATTCCGCTCTAGCTTAATCCAATGAAGGCAAACGAGTGCCAATTGGGGGTGCCCTCCGCAGATGGCGCGGCGATGGCGGGCGGAGGGCGGGGCGGAGGGGTCAGGGTTTGCGTAGAGCTGCGCCGACGTCCGTGTCCCCTTCGCCCTTGAACTCGTCGCCGCTGGAGCCGCCGCCTCGGCGCCACCGCGAACGCAACCTGGCGGAGAGGAGGCGACACGCTTTTGTAACGCTCCGGCCCAACGCATCGCCGCGCAGCGTTGCCCAAGATTCATACGACAAAAAGTGGACGCACCGAGGACGCGTCCGTCATTCGATTAAATAATTATTGGCCGAGTCTGTTTGAATGTAATAGACTGTTGAAATTCTGTTCCAACTTGAGAAATCTTGCAATTGAAAATATTTCTTTACGCATTACCCAAAATTCGAAAAATCTCCACGCTATGAGCATGTCAAAGAATAACAGATTCATACGACAAAAGTGGATGCTCCGAGGACGTGTCAGTCATTTCTTCAAAAATTCTTCGATTCTATTTCAATGTAATGGCCTGAAATCCTGTTCCAACTTGAGAAATGATATATTTGGAAATATTTCTTTATCCATTACCCAAAATTCGAATAATCTACATTCTATGAAAATTTCAAAGAATAAAGGAGGGAACCTTTTCTTAAATGGGGTTTGTGTCAAGGCGTTCCTTGATAGGTCTACTACCATTTATTTCTTTTCACGTATAAAGTTTGTAATTGAAATGTCTTTTCAAGAAACTTATTGATCAATAAAATATAGGAGATTGCTTGCTATGGTCTTATTAGAACGAACTTGAAACCGTTCCTGAAACGATTATTATTACTTCCTAACCTTCATCAAATCATTTAAAAATGACTAAGCTTACAACTCGCAGTTTTCTCAAAATTCTTCTGCTACAGTATTAAATTCGATATGTTAAATTAAATGGACGATTAGTATACTTTCTGCATAAACTCATGCCTAAAACGGCCATTTGTTAATTAGTTATATATTGTGTTACTTTATTTTCAAATTTCATATTTGATCCAGTTGAGGATTGCAATTTTTTTATTGTAATGTTTGTTCCTCTTGAATGGCATTTTTTTATTGTCTCGATTCCCAAAGCACACATTCACTTGTGCCAAATTAGAAAACAATGGGAATCACATCATTGCATTCTCTTGAAAATACTATGTTCATTTGACAAAATATTACCACTCACGGAGTCTCGACCAAATATACAAATTTTACGCAGTAACGGACCTCAATAACTCGGTAACTTGGGGTTTGTATCACTTGAGCGACCTCCAATGCGGGGTTCACAATTACTTCAGTGGCGACAGAAAATCTTTCTTCACCAGTAGCCCACGTACCAATTCCTATTTAGTACCTTAAGGAGGTTGTGGAAAATAATTAAAGATGTTTATAAATCATAAAAAATAGATCCATTCAAAGCATTTAATAGTGCCTAAAAGACATAAAAGGGCGGTTGATGCGTATTTTAATATTTTCTTGCCTAAAACTGCGTAAATGAAGGATTTTTGAAGGATTGACAGATTCCAATTACTCATGTTTGAATTTGATATTCCGAAACGCGAATATTTCCTGATCGGACATGCAATCGAACCAAAGTGTCTCGCTCAAAACACAGAACATGCTCTGCAAGTCAAACAAGCGATGTTCCAGTATCGTCTCAAACAGCTTGCTCATCTTGAGCAAGTGCACCAGTTTCGGTGCAGCGGCGCTGTTGACAGGTTGAGAAGGAATGAAATGAAAAGAAATGAAAGTGAATAAAATAGTATGCTACTAGTTACTCTCAACAATAAAAAATGCCTAATTTAATCCATTTGTGGCCAGTTTTAAATGGCAGAAACAACACTTTTCGTCTCTAATATTTTTAAATACCTGAGTGCCTCATTTTGTAACTCGAATTTTAAGTGCCTGAAACGTCACTTTTCGTACCTAATTCGTACCTAATTTCGTAATTGTATTAACTGTTTTAGCTTCCTAAATCGTCACTTTTTTGTGCCTAACATTCCGTGATCTATTTATTAGTAACATACCTCCATTTTACTTATTCGAGATGAACCAAGGTTTAGTCGGCTGCAGTCATAAGTAACATGATGCACTTTCCTGTGAGCAAAGCTATCAAACTAATTGAAATTCTGAAATAACAATAAAAGAAGTGAATTTTAAAAACAATGAAGAAATTTATAAATTATCTATTGAAAACAATACAAACCAAGCGATTATTTTATTCGACGTTTGATGAAAATCAAAGTTACAAATAATTAAACAGTATCGTTCAGAGCGTGGATTGTTATAATCTGTGATGTACCTGGATCATACAAACATATTTTTCGATTAACTTATGCGGAGTATAAAATTATTTGTTTGTGAAAATAATATTCGAATAATATTTTATGAATCTTACTTAATACAGTTGATCGAAAAACATAACGGTAGGATACTTCGCATCGTGGGTACTGTTGAAACACAAGAAAATTGTAGTTTTGTAATATTGTCGCGCTGTTGGAATTTACATTCATCTGCAACAATATACTTTGTCAGCGTAATAATGTATTTTTCTAACTCCTATGTAAGTATTTTTATCAAACAACAGAAAAGAACAATGCCATGTCATATAATTCCAAGAACAATCACATCTCAATACCAACTGTTGCTCACAGACATATCCAACTTTCGGCCGACGAAGCCCTAAGAGGCAGGGTGCGCTCTCGAGGGTCATTCGTTCCCCTCAAGAGGCGGGGTTTTATTTTCGTGATTTGAGTTTCATTGTGCTGCTGCTATGCAGCTAAAAGGGAAGGAGTACTTTTCCTAAGAACTTACTAAAACTAGCTTGCTATTAACTTACTACAATTTCCAGTCAATATGTACGCATTTCGGTATTCCTAACTTGATCAAACAATCACTGAAAACAAACACCGTATCGCCGCGGCGCCGGGTGGGCTTCGGCGGTGCTCTGGGGCGCGGCGCTCGGCCGCCGGCGAGGCTTCCCCTCCTCGAGGCGGCTGCTCCGCGGGCGCACTCGAGGCAGCAAGCGAGACGGCTGACGGGGCAGCGCGCGAGGCCATGGCGACGTGCCACGGCGCTTTCCGTAGATGGGACCGATGGGTGTCGCTGTTCGCGCGCGGCGCCTTCGAGCCCAGCGCCCTCGCAAGCGCCGTTGCTGCGCGCCTTTTCAGCTCCGGCAAGAGTTGGTTATTCACACTCCGAACCCGCCGGTGTTTCTCGGGTATTTGTTTGGTGCGGGAGGGGAGAGAGGCTCGCCGCGCGGGCGAATCGGTCGGAGGGTGGAAGGAGGCGCCGCTGCGAGTGGCTCGCGAGCCAACGTCCAAATGCACGCGCGCAAGTGAAGGCACTACCCAGGCACTTCACGGTCACAAGGCGGACGGCGCGGGGGACACTGGCCTGCAATTGGGAACGTCTTTATGGCGTAAATTTCGTATTGGTATAGGAGTTCCCAAAAATTGTAAAACAATGTCCTCCTCTCCTTCCCGCTCGTAACATTTAAGTGCTACTACGTTTAAACCGGAGTGTAGGCGAATCGATGATCACAAGGGCTGGCGCAAAGACTACGGCGGCAGTGGCAGCTGTGAAGAGCGCACTACAGAAAACATTCTGACAAACTGACTACCTTCGGATGAGCGTCGCCGTTTTTGCGATAAATTTAGCATCTTTAAGGGGCTGTGTCTCACGAAAGCGGTCGCCATGAGCCGTGAAAGTTTGCAAAATGACAGATTTTTTTTCTGGAAAATGCAATGATGTGCGTCCCGATTTTGTTTTGAATTTGTCATAAATGAGTGTTTGCTTATCTGTAACAGCCAATCGATTTTCTCCACGCCGATCGTGTTTGAAATCAAAATATCCAAATATGTACTAGTTTACGTTACTTTATTGCAATGCGAATATCAACAAAAGTTAAAAGGGAGAAATAGTTATTTACGGACCAAGGGCGTTATGAAGGTGCTAATGATCGAGCGGCGGCAAAAAGCTGATGGTCTTTGGCCCGAGTACTCTCTGGCTCCCGAGATCATTAGAACCAGTTAACGCCCGTGGAACATTATTTTTTTGCCGAATAATATTGGTTCAAATCTACATATTTACTAATTAATGAGATGTTATCTGACTGTTTTTTTCATATTTCCCTCCTGTAAAGCCCT